GCGTGCGTGCGTGCGTGCGTGCGTGCGTGCGTGCGTGCGAGCGTGCGTGCGTGCGTGCGTGCGTGCGTGCGTGCGTGCGTGCGTGTCATATGTATACATATAGCAGAAATGAAACGTATATTTTAGAACTATGATTGTTAATAACTTTTTAACGAAGGGCGAGCGACGGCTAAAACCTGTTGGAGGTTACTCAGGGTCATATCCTTGACAACATATGTCAAGGTCAAGGTCATCGAAGGGTGGTCCGTTATAATGCATAATTACCCATTCAAAGTCCATATAAGAAAACAAATAGATAGCAATATTTGTAAAGAGTCATTAACAATTCGAATAAAATAAAAATGAATTCTAATCTGAATGTAAAATAAAACAAAGAAGAAATAATAATGCCTAGTCGAGTCAATGCACTGGATGTCGGTGTGAAGTAGAAAAAAGTTTATTGTAGATATGTACATACGTTTCGATCCTTACTTTTGGATCCTTATCAAAGTGAATATTCATTTAATACATTTCAATGTGCTACCTAGAACACTTTACAAAAATAATAAATTTGATAGTTAACGGAAATTGATAATATAATGTTTAATTGTTTTGTGAACTGTTTAAATTATAAAAAATAATAAGAATATGAATAATATAAAGACTTACATGAAATGAAATTAAATGGATGGAGAGACATATATTGATATGTTGATTGTACAAGAGTTAAAGTGATAATGTGACGAAGAAATACTTAAAACTATACATTTCTTTATGTATGTTATTGAAAATGGAAATCAAATGTCAGTGAGTAAACAATCATATGCTTTGTTTAGCAAGTCAGTGTCAGTTTGTAAGTTTAAACTGTTCTTTTGTCTATGTATGTGTATCATTTCTGAAATGAGTCTCTTATTTAAAATATTTTCTTCGTCCAGAATTTTAATATCGTCCCAATTAAAGTCATGTGAAAATTGCAACCTATGATCAGTTATTACTGATTTTTGTTGTGTGTTTCTATTTATATGATTTTTATACTCTGAAATTTTTATGCTTTTTATTTCTGGTTTTAAGAGTCCTACTAGTCTGACCCACATATGTTGCATCGCAATCATTGCAAAAAATCTTGTAAACCACGTTAGAGCGCATCATAGTGTGTAATCTATCTTTTTGTACCTTGATGATATTGCCAAGATTATTGATACCCTTATATGCCAATCTAATGGTTTCACAGTCTTTGAAATAATTTTCAATTTTATTCGATATATTTTTTATATATGGAATTGTGAAATAATTAATTTTTGGGAGATTATTATTATTATTATTACTGTTATTATTTATGAAAGAATTATTATGTCGATCTAACAATTTGTGAATTCTTTTGTTGATTGTTTTTATTATTAATATAAGAGGATAACCATTACTAAGTAAAATTCTAATTATCTTATCAAAGTTTTTTTGATGAAAGGATGGATGTGAAAGGTGCAATACTTTGTCTGTAAGACTTATTATGACTCCTATTTTGTGTGAATGATGGTGTTGTGAAAAGTAATTCAAATATTTACCCGATGTAGTTGGTTTTTGATATCAATCGTAAATAAGTGAATTATTCTGTTTTATCAAAGTAATATCCAAAAAATTCAGTTTATTATTATTACCTTTTTCTAGAGTAAAGTGAAGTCTTGGATGATAGTTATTAAAATTGTTTAAAATACTTTCAATGTTATTCAATGTTAAAATAAAACGTATATAATTTGTACCTTAAGCGTAAAAATCGAAGAGAAGGCGTGATTCCAGTTCATATTCAATATTATTACTAAAATGAACAATCTGCCACTTATCGTATGTGATTCCGGCGACTTTCAATTGTATAATGTCAGGAAAGAAAAACATATACTTAAAACAGATAATCGAAAGAACAGGGAACTCTCTCCTTCCTGATACACGCTATCCTTGTCCCTGTTCTTTCGATTATCTGTTTTAAGTATATGTTTTTCTTTCCTGACATTATACAATTGGAAGTCGCCGGAATCACATACGATAAGTGGCAGATTGTTCATTTTAGTAATATTGAATATGAACTGGAATCACACCTTCTCTTCGATTTTTATGCTTAAGGTACAAATTATATACGTTTTATTTTACATTCAGATTAGAATTCAATTTCATTTTATTCGAATTGTTAATGACTCTTTACAGATATTGCTATCTATTTGTTCTCTTATATCGACTTTGAATGTTTACTATGTTGACTATTAAATAAGAACCTCCAATATTATTTAACTATTCCAATACATTCAACTAGAATATTTAATTAAATGAAGACTGCGTTAATTAATAATAAATTTTATTCGGAAGACATATGTTTTTTAAAATATTTTTGTGAACATTGATAATGACCCGATCGGTGTCGAAACGTTTGTTGATAATTGTTTTTATTATTTTGTAATGTTTATTAATTTACATTAAAGTGTTATTGTTTTAAATGTCAACATTTGGCTCTTGGCCCTTCGTTTATTTCTTATGTTTTATACTTAAAGAGCCTTCTATTATATTAATTTTTGTCTTCTATCTTTTGTTAGACTTGATGAATAATTGAAATACAAATTGACTACATCGGATTCGCATCATTTCAAATTTGTTTCCTTCTTCTTTTCACTTTTCTTTTATCCTTTTTTTTTTAGTCGATTCTTCTTCGTTCAAGTGACCGCGAAAGTGAATGTTCGTGTGCGGGAATTGCGCCGGGAGTGCGGGTGCCTCTGTAAAACCTTGTTCTGGGTTATCGAGGACTCGGCGTTTTGCCTCGCACCTTCTATAGCGGATGACCGCTGCGCTTTCTTCCACTCTCACACACGCTCCGTCCCCAGGGAGCACTTTTAGTACTATGGGAACATCCTAGCAACTGGCCGCTGTGCAGGTCTCTCATTAGACTCTCTGGTGGCCTTCCCGAGCAAGGAACAAGGGCCCCCTGTCGAGGCTCCACCTTCGCTCACTCCCGACTTCACTCTTCCCGCGTCGACCTTCGGTGTCTGCAGCATGGTGGAAATAACAAGGTGAAACATTGCGCATAATGGCGACAGCGTGAATTAGTAAACCAATCAGAGCGTGGTATCATTTGCAGGCGCGCATTTAAAAATCAGAATTGGTTATAGAAAATAATTTAACATAAAAAAAAAATTAAAAATATGAATGAAAACATGGATTTCTTTTCTGATATCGCGAATTGCGAATAAAAATAATTTTTTTTAAATATGTACTAATGGACTTAAGATAAAAGATGAAAGAAAGTTATGCAAGAAAAAAATGTAAAAATTAATAAAAATATATTTCCTCTTTCAGTCGTTTTTTTAAAATTATGACTAAAAATTAGTAACAAAATAAAAAAATTTCAGTACTTAACGTAATACAATTATAGTACATTGTGTAACAGTGAGGGATGGTTGTTTATAGCGCAGCCGGGCGCGAGCGCACGAGCGAAGCGAGTGCGTACGAGCGCCCGTGCCGACCTATAAACAAATATGCCCCCACTCGCTACACATAGAATTTTTCATTACAAGTGCTCGTCGTAAGTGCCTATACCGAAACGTTTTTGCACAGAAGAGCGGGGTTAGAGTAATAACTCAAGCCGTTGAGTTATTGGCTGTTTACCGCACGCAAAAGCGTTGAGTTATTGAGCACATTACGTGCACGCGTGATGAAAAAATTATTTCATAACTCAAATAAAATAAAAAATTATTTCATTATACTCAAAAAGATCAAATAAACTTAAATATAAGTTTTGTTACTCAAATAACGAGTTTTTTTATATTTTTTGTGAACAGTATTATTATTTTTAATTCTTAAGATTTAAATTTTTCAGTCTTATGTACGTTCGTGTTCGAACGAAGCATGATATGACTTCTTGGAAAAGCATTTTTTATTTCATCGAGGACTATGTCTGTGAGTTTGTCAAAGATGTGTGGTTCCCTCGACAAGTCATTGTCATAAAGTTCACGAAATGCAATGTTCATTTTTTTTCCAGCTTCTATAAATTCGTTTGAAGGATATATACATCCTCCTTTGGAGATAAGACAAAGACGCATCCATCCAAGTCCTAACCGCCACTTGATAGACAAGAATAGAATAAGAGCAGCCACCTTCATTTCATGCATTTGATACCACAGCTGATTGGCTCGTGACATCACGTGACATGAATCATCCTACGGAATACTTCTCCTTGTTATTTCCACCATGGTCTGCAGCACCACCTCCACTCTCCATGTTGCAGGGGAAAAATTATGGTGCGCAGGAGAGGAGCGGGAAGGGAGCGAGATACGTGACTATCACACTTCCGCGAAATTCGACGAGAGGGTGTTCGCGGACCCGTAGTCATATCGCCTCGATACCATCCAGTGCAGGGAAACCACGGGGGACTGATTCTTGCCCCCGCGAGTCACTCCTCCGCTACGAGGACGCCTCGCGGATATCTCGCGGCCGCGATCTACACGCCGCGCTTGTTGCCCGCTTCGGTCTCCTCGCGGCCCCGTGGCGTTTCCAGGATCAGAGAGGAAGGCATAATCGTCGGCCCTGGCTGAATCGTTGCTAAAACCGACCCGTCTAGGATAGAACTTGTTGGCCTACCCCGGGGTGCGAGCCCTGAGATAATAGTTCTCCAAACGTATCCGCTTCCCTCGTCCGTCCACCCCAGGGCGGACGTAACAGGCACCTTCAATAATATTATATATCAGTTACTTTTCGTGGTTGTATGTTATGCTGTATTAAACTAACGTAACGTAAAGGCATTTAATAGAATAATTGTGCATGCAATTGTTCAAACTTATATTTTTTCTAATTTCAGCGGATTATAAATCTTCGCGTAACGTAAATAACAAAGTTACCCTATTTTACTATTTTCAGTGGTCAAAGATACAATCTGCCAAGTTTTCCATTTTGGAGCATCAAATGGACCCAAGCAGCAATTTTAGTAGCTATCGTAGCACATTGAAGGCTGCAATGTGGCGTAGTACTGGCGCTACAGATGAACGTCAGCGAATCGTAGTGCCCTTTTTTAGTCTTCTCGTCAAGGACTTATACTTCCTCAACGAGGGTTGTAGTAATAAGTAAGTAATACCAAATATATTGCAATCTATTCATTCAATTTTATAATTCAAATTATATACATAATATACATATTTTTAACAAATACTCAAATCTTTTTAAGATTGTACAATTGATAAACAATAAACTAATAAGAAGAAGGAACCGCAGTAACGGTCAAAGCCAATAACGGTCGAAGCTGGATCACAAATGCTTATTAAAATTATGTGTGAATTTTATATTCCGCGTATGTAGTTCCCCTATCGCGTGCCGAAATTTTTTTCGGACTTACAACGCAACTATAAACAACTACCGTGGTAATATCACTTTAGTTAAATTGACAATCAATTTAACAATTTTTGATGCTTATAGCATCTTATTGGATCTTAATAATATGTTGAAAGACATATGTTAAAATTTAACGATGTAATATTTAAAGTAATGCTAAATCAAACTCTGTGAAAAATAAGATTGCGAAGAATATCACAAGTTGGTGTTTCGTCCCGGTTCCCACTACTAGACTCATCAGTAAGGCATTGTAATGAAAACCTACCTTAGACGCCTGTTTAAGTTATTAAATCGAGATTCTATATATACAGATATACGCGTATCTCAGCACTTGCGATTTAATAACTTAAACAGGTGTCTAAGGTACGTTTCCATTACAATGCCTTACTGATGAGTCCAGTAGTGGAAACCGGAACGAAACGCCAACTTGTGATATTCTTGGCAATATTATTTTTCACAGAGTTTGATTTAACATTACTTTAAATATTACATCGTTAAATTTTAACATATGTCTTTCAACATATTATTAAGATCCAATAAGATGCTATAAGCATAAAAAATTGTTAGATTGATTGTCAATTTAACTAAAGTGATATTACCGCGGTCGTTGTTTAGAGTTGCGTTGTAAGTCTGAAAAAAATTTCAGCACGCGATAGAGAAACTACATATGCGGTATATAAAATTCACACATAATTTTAATAAGCATTTGTGATCCAGCTTCGACCGTTACTGGCTTTGACCGTTATTAATTTCCTCCTTCTTGTTAGTTTATAATATACGTATGCTTTAATAATTATTACAATTATATTTATTCATAAAGCAGTTTTAACTTATAATAGTTAATATAAGGCTCCATAAATATAAAACAATTAAAATAACAAAAGGCAAAGAGCCAGTAATATAACAAAACTGAAACTTTAATATTAAAACATGTAGCTACAAATTAACAGACGTTTCGACTCCGATCAGGTCATTCTCAATGTTACAGATACAAATAAATTAGTGATACAAAATTCGTTATCCTTCAGAAATTATTCCATTCTTATTGCATTGTGTCAAAAAGATGAAATTCAAAAGTCAAAGTATATAAAATTTGGTGTTCTAAAAATAATCGTGAACAAATTTAAAAGTCAGATTGTATAAAACTTAGTATTACATAGAAAAAAAGCTTTAATAAAAATTAACAAAATCAACTTGGAAAAAAAAAAGCATTAGGAGTTAAGCGCAGATAACTTTACGCAAACGCTGATATTTATCAAGCAAAACTTATTTATTACAAAAATTATTCTTACATATTTCGGCTCATTTTTAGCCTTCTTCAGAGACAATGAAAAATTGCATAAATAAAATATAATTTAAAATTGACAAAGGATTAAAAGAAGTTTAAACACCGCGAGCTCCCCCACAACCGAGAAATAAAATCAGATGATAATTTCGTCTTAAATAACACAATAATAAGAACAAAAAAGGCAGAAAAGAAAAAATTAATAAATAGAATTCTAAAATTCTGGGAAATAATTTCCCAGAATTTCTTAGAAAACAAATAACTTCGAAATTGAATTTATCATAATTACGATTATTTTACTGGGACTGGGGAGGCTCACCATGTTCACAATGATACTGTATCACAAACACTCTCAAAACCGGTTTTTAGAAAAATTTTTATTAGGCCAGTCAGTCTCATTGTCAAACACAGTGAGTCATAACAAATTGTTAGACGATATTAAATTAAAATTATCAAATTGCAGATATCAAATGCTAACACTCAACCACTGTGCACAAGCGAGACTGACTAAACAGACGTGACAGACAACAACGCTATTTATATTCTGTCTATGATCGGGAAGTAGACCTTGGGAAGCCCCTCCCTGTCCGTTTGTAAATTAAGTCCGTGTGCTTGTCTCCTGATGGATATCATTTCCGAAATCAGTCTTTTTCTATAGTGTGGTTCATCATCCAATATTCTAACGTTCTCCCAATCAAATTCATGATCCTCATGCAGCCGGTGCTCAGTTATGACGCTGCGGGTGGACGTGTTCCATCTGATATGATTTTTGTGTTGAACAATTTTGACTTTAGTTGTCTGCATTAATTATAGCATAATAGAAATAATTATATAAAGTATAAAATTCTTTTTCTGTATACTATAACTTTTATGTAATGTGCTAAAAATATATTAAAAATAAATGTTTGAGGTCCAGTTTTTGTATTTACTTTTTATATTTTATTTTTATTAAATTTTTAGAAAAATTATACCTTTATTTATTATTTTAAACTAGTTTATTTAATGTATATTTTTTATTATGTGTTGCAACCCTTATTTTAAACTGTTTAAACTAGATTTCTACGACTTATGTATATTGTTATTAATTAAATCTATCTTTTTAAATTATTTTAAACTTTTTAAACCAGACTTTTTAAATAATTTTTAGTTTTTTATTAGTTTCCAATTTTTTAGTTTTTTATTATTTTCTTATTTTTATTTTCTGTTCATTTAAAAATTTTTCTTTTTATTAGTTTGTTAAGTTTTAGGTTTTTAGTTTGGTAATGTAACTCACTTTTGGCAGCAGTCGGGAGTTTTTTTTTTTTTTAAACTAAATCTTGAAAAGTTTCCATTTTTGTGTTAAATTTTTTTATTTTTTGTTGTTTTAATAGTTATTTAAGTTTTATGTCATTATTCAGTTTTTAGTTTTTTTTAGGTTTTTTGTTTAGTTTTTTTATTTAGTTTTTTAGTTTTTAAATTTTTAGATTTTTTAGTGTTTATATAGTTTCTTGTAGTTTTTGGTAATTTTTTAATTTTTTTAATTAGGTGATATTCTTTGCAATATATTAGAATAAATAAAAAAAAAGAAAGAATTTAACGAATTTATTGGCTCGTAGCCCTGTTTCTCTCCATTAGTTTTAAATTTATTGAGCCTTATTACAATCTACAATTTTATTTTTTTAAATTTTTAGTTTTTTTTTAGTTTATATAGTTTCTTAGTTTTGTTGTTAATTTTTTTAGTTTTTAATATTTCAGTTTTTTATTTTTTTTATTACCTTTGTCAATTTTTTTTTAGTTTATAATTTTATATCATTAACTTTTTAGTTTCTTATACTAGTTTTCATCAATTATATTTTTAATTTAATTTCATACTTTTAAAAGCTTTGTTTTCTAATTATATTTAATTTTAATTTTTTTTTTTAAGATTATGTCTTAAATTTATTTTTAAAATTCTTTTATTTCATACTTTTTTAAAGGTGTATGTGTCCATGGTGTAATAAGTAAGGTGAAGCGTTCTAAAGTTGCGCAGTAGTCAGAAATATCCAACCAATCGCAAGCTAGCGGAAAAGGAAAATATTTTTGGTCGTATCGAAAGGACATAATAACAAGGACATATATTCGTTTACGAAATGTAAATATGCAAATAAAACAAAAAAATGTTTCAAAGACTCATAAAAAATTGCGAAGAATGACAAATACAATTGTTACATAGATTTTATAATAAAATCTTTATTTCATAGATTTTATAATAAAATTTTTATTTCATTTATATCTTTATGTTATTCATATGATCCTGTTATGTTCTTTGTTCTTTTTTTCTACATAATTTAAAAATTTATTAAATCAATTTATAAAACTCATTCATATGCGACGTTTTTATTTCGAATTTTCCCAATTTCAACCACTTTCAAATTTCGCTTTTTATGGTTTTAAGGAGGTTCTAAAGCGTTTGGTCTGTAAGGTAGTAATTAACGGTAATAATTTTTCCATCTTTTCAAAAATTGTTGGTCAATTCTCAATTTATTTCGTAGGTATCGTCTACTAGATCGTATATAATATGTATAAATTATCTTGCCGAAGCCCTAATTTTGAAAAATCTGTTCAATCA